GGCTTGGGGGATCGTGGGAGGATTTCTAGTATTTTGCCCCATATTCGCCCCTCTAATTAGGAAGGTAAAAGCCGGGGTGGGGGGAATTGGTGGAATGGAGCCAGAGACTAGGTGAGGGGTTTTACTTGGATCATATAATATCACCCATTTTGTGGAGCGGCAATGAGAGGACGATATAAGGAGTCAATCTATACTGCGGTCGTTCGTTTCACACCTTTTCTCTATCAGAACTCTTGTTAGGAGCATAAATTCTGTTGTTGTGTTATTCGGCACTTGGCTCGTCCTTGCCCACGTTTGATTCATAAAAGGCTTCAGAGAAGAAGTCCGGTAAATGTAGTGTGGGAACAAGATAAAGTTAGAGGCTCAATGTAACTTGCTCTCGATATGCACAAATAGCTCCTGCACTACCCCCAACGTTGGTAACCGCCTTAATACTTGCCACCGGACAGTTTACAGATTAGTTATCCTACGAAAAACTGTTATTTCCGCTAGTAACATTGTCATATATGACATGGAGTGCAAGAAGGCGTTTCAATATCAGAACAGAGGAAATAATCTGACGGTCTAGGGTATATGTTACGGGAAACCAAAGAACAGGTGTGTCGGGAGAATCACCAATGCCAATTTGTTCGAGGAGCGATGGATGGTGTGTGTAAAAGGGTGCGACGGGTGACAGAAGGTGATTGTGCGAAAGTCATTAGACAACCAAATTATCGCTCCATCGCACAGTTTAGTGAATCAAGAGTACACCAAGTTTGTTGCATCATAAACATGCAGGAAGAAGGTCGGAAAATGATACAGTTCTGTCTACCTTGCCCCACAACCTCATGCGGTATAGCGGGGGGTATGTGTGTAACATGGACCCCCACGTCGCCCGAAAATAAGCATTATTTTCTTTCTTATTTCTTTTTCCGAACCCCTGACATGTCAATGAAGGAAGGCCAACGCGTTGTGTTGGTAGTGTAATAGGCTACAGTATCCTTTACCTGCCGGTAGACCGTTGGCAGACGTTTTTCAGTCTGATTGAGAGCATGTGAGAGGTTTGAAGCTAAATCCATGCACTCCCGGTTACCATAAGCTCCATTTTGCTCAAACGCTTCCATATGTGGTCTATCCCTCCTCCCCTATGAGTCCAAGGGCCTGCTACTCGAGTATCGGAAATTGGGCACGGGCCCCACATTTTTCAAAGGCATTGTGCTAAAAATGCAAGGGGTGCCGAATGATCTACCATGACATCTTCCCGGTAACTCCGGTAGCCAATTTCCCCCAATTCCCCGATAGTTATGCGGTCTTTTATGAGCATTACACATAAAACACCGTGCACACTTCTATTTATACTCTAAAGAGCCAAAATACAATTTTCATACTCGATTTTCCCAACGAAACCTGTCACTACCGAGATAAACCCGCGATATACTGCTGTACAGTACGTTACATATCATACTACCCACTACACACTCGCCCCTGACAATCAAAATACACGATTCGCTCGACAGCTTCTACAAGCGAGTGGGGATTCCTCACCTATTGCATGAATAGCCTATCCTTTACCGAAAATTTTAACGAAAATCAGGCAGGGTGAAAGGAAGGACACCACATGAAACATTTTAGCCTACTACACACTTCACACTTAGGCTAGATTTGCATTACTGCAGTGGTTTAACCCCGGATCAGCACTTTGTTCTGTAACATTTTGGGCGAGCATGATACCGTATACCGCCCGCTACCCGCTGGTGCACTTTATGTGGTAACCAGAAATATGCTTAGCAACTTAAATAGAAACTATCGCCAGGATCCCTAATGCAAATCAAATCAAAGCTAATGATATAGGTGTGAAATAAAGAAACAGAGATACAATTTCTCAGATAAATTCTGGCACACTGACCCTCTCCCCAGGTGGTGGTAATATTACCCTCGTCATTACCCAATCCCCACAAACACAGAGCAATCAAGGCATAGTAACACCCCCAAATTCTGTCACATGATGTTGTCATGATGGCAGAAAAAAAGAATATTAGGGCTCCAGGTAGAGAAAGCAAGCTCCTAATTCTAAATTTAGCTATCATAGCTTTTTGATTGGGCGATATGATTGCGGGTCTGGCTCAGGCCGGCCCTACACACCATATCTGTCGCCTGTCTAACCTCGCACCAAGGGAGGCCCAGCCACGGAAACAACGTTTCGGCAATCTAGTGTAACCAGATCCTCACAATTCTATTGTACTGTGCAGTACAGTACTGTACAGGGAACCTACCGGCTCTGTGTCTCTAGAAATGACCAATGCAACGAACTTCACGATTCAACTCCAACCCCTTCACACCCACCCCCCTCTTCCCTCGGGTGCGAAAAGCCCGATCCCAACAAAACGGCGATCCAACCACCAGGCCATTAGCAAGAGAATGTTTAATGCGCTGGCGACGATACGTGGCCCAAGTTACACATTATTAACGAGTCGGAGGAGTTATCTGTCATAGTCAAACATTTACGGGTAAGAAATACAAGGAATTCTAGCCCCCACCACACTCGCACCTCCTGATTGTCATGACAAGGATTTCGAGCTGGGAAAGGTTTACCTTACCGCAAGGCCCCAAGCGAGAGGTACTCGAGTACTTGTACAGCTGCGCTGCCGGAAGAGATACGTCAACCACCCACTACAATAGCAGTACGAGTAACGGGAGGCAAATCATCTGATTTTTTTGTTTTTCCCTTTGGTGGCTTACTGACGTATCCAAGAGGGTCAGGTAATGGAATACCCTACTAAATAAACACCCGGCGCTTATTGGTCGCTGGTGTACTAGTACTCGTACTAGTACTGTACTCGAGTACTTGTAAATGTTCACTGACTGGCAGAAAAAAGCAATTTCCGTAGCTGAATCTTAGACCGGTGCGAGACCCACAATCGCATAATTTACGCTTTCCACGCTAAGAGTCCAGCCGCACGCAAGTCGAAGAAGAAAAAAACCAGCAACGCATAAATTCTCCGGTAGGATTCTGAAATATTCTCAGAGTGTGGAAACGTATATTGTAACGGTGCCTTCCAGAGATCTTATTTCGGCTATTCCTGCAAAGGCACAGCTCGGCCAGATCACCACCACCCCCTCTCTCTCCCCAATGAAAAGGTTTGTTGGGTGGGAAAGCTGAAAAGCCTTTGTTACACTAACTATGGCTTTGCTTGGAGTTTTTATTTTATCCCAGGGGTGGAGCGACAGGCTAGATCCGATCGTCCGACAGACTCGTTCCCGGCTCGCTTTGTGACCTCTCGGCTCCAATAGGTGTCATTTTGTGCATTTTTGCATATGCCATTTTTACCATTCATTATCGACTCGTCGAGGCATTCCTCGCTTAAGCACTGGATGCGCTGGCTGCATGTCATACATAGCCGAGAAGCTGGACCTAAACGAGTGCGGCGGGAACGGCCATCCAGCGACAACCGGAGCAGCGAATCGTCGAGCTGAAAGGGGGTTGTTGAAAAAGGGGGGGAGGGGTTTCAAATTCATATGCAGGAAAAGGGAAAATCGAGTCAACATCCTTCCGCCTGAGATTTTACCTGTTCCTCCACTACGAGAGGCACAAAAATAAAAGTTTCAATGCCACGCAAAGAGTAGCATCGCAGTAAGTCATGTGTCCAATCCCGCGATTGATGATCCACCCCAAATCATTCTGCGTCACTCGGCTGGGCCGCTACCTCGGCCGGAAGGGACAGGAAAACCCGCTCGGACTCGTTTCAGGATTCTGGCATGGATGAGGATGAATCATGTTATCATACAGCGCGGTCGTGCATCGGATGCTACCGGTAGACCATCCCTCCCCCCGAAGAGGGCGAAACAGCCCGTTGGCCGAAAATGATGACTGTACCATACCAGTACAATCAAGTTTCCAAGGAATGCGGATTTGAATGAAATCCATCCCATTTGTCAGCCGGGCCTTAAGGCCCCCCTTTACCACGTGCCGTGCCGTACTTTTTACGTACTAGTACAGAGAAGCCGAACCTCTCCGCCGCGAGTGTAGGGGAGGGGGGGGACTACCTTGCTCGATCGCCTCACGAAGCTCAGCACAGAGGTCTCCGAAATCTCAATGACCACCATTTTTCTTCTTCAACAAGGCTCCCTCCCTGCGTGATTTTTCTTTCCCAAGACGAACAGTGATAGAGCCCCGCGAACGGCGTCGTCGCGTACCAATGAAATTGCCTCATCCCAATCGACTTTCCGGCAATTCGAGGAATCATGCACTCCGTATAACTGCCTTGCAGCGGTATAACCATTACAGTGGGCTTGGAGGTAGTGTCCGTGAGGAAAACCGCCAAAATCCTACCAGCGGCACGGATCAGCCGGTAGAATGCCACCGCCTGCCACCGATACGATACCAACTTTGACTTAATCCGCACCAAGGCACCTCCACCGTTGAAAACAGGTTTTTTTTTCTTCTATGCTCTTTGGGCAGTTACAGAATCAAAAAAGTCAAAAAAAAAAAAAATGCACTTTTTGAAGAGAGAAAGAAAGAAGAAGAAGAAAAAACCAACGTCGCGCAAGGCGTAATTATTTTAATTCTTAAAATTTCGCAAATGCTTTTCAGTACAAGTAGTCTTTGCTCACCGAGAGAACGATCGTTCGCTTTCACTTGTCTTACATTTTGCAAGCGCAGATATGCCAAGAGCGATAATCGAGTAAAAACAGTTAGGACCTGAGACATAAGCCAGTAAGATTCCCGATCGGCCAAATAATATCCCAACTCAGACAGCCATTTCATCTGATACCTCAATAATTGAGCTAAAAATACAGAAAAAATAGCGAAATTAAGAGGACTGGTTGGAATTATTTATTGCTTCTTTGCTGCTTTCAACGGTATTATTCGTCTATATATAGGTGCTAAATTCCCTAGTCCATTATGACAATTTAAAGGCATTCCCCGTCATTAGCAGAAGCTAGCCCGCTCGATTGATTGCCCTCCTCGTGGGGTCTATCGGTGTACGAGTACCATCTTTTCACCCCCCTGTATGAACGGGTTATAGGTCCCGGATGAAAGGATTCAGAAGATGCAAATCTTGGGTCTCCAGAGCGGAAAAAAAAGAAAAAAAATTCAACGGGGGTGCACACTGCGGAGAGGAATGGGAAAGAAACATGGAGCTTCCCCCCCACAAAATGACCATTCCCGGGTTGCCCCCCCCCCTGAGACCAGGGCTCTGTACCACCACCCATCCACTTTTCGGAATGGGCAATCCCCTGGGAGCAAGTAGGGCAAATACAACAGCGGCTGGAGTTGGATGCCACAACCCGGTTATCGTACAGTAGAGGATTCCACCCTGCATGCTAGTACGGTACAGTACTCGTACGAGGCTGTTGTGGAACGGTCTTCATAGGAGCACATTTCATGGTCGCACCAAAACACACATAGCAAGTTAGGTCGTAACCTATGCTCGACCCGATATGCCAACACCGCATCCCCGAGACCGGGTCCTTGACCATCTACCCGCCCCTGCCAACAAGGCCGTGAAAAGGGCAAGGCGCTTTGTTGAATTCGAGTAAAGCCCCCAGTCTTGCTGCCGGGGTAATTGTACAGATGCTTGAGGATGTGCGCGGATCAATTTGAGGAGAGTGAGAAGAGCCCGGTACCAAGGTGCGCTCAGACATCCCATTTTAGTGTAAGTTTTAATTGCAACTGACTCAATACCCCGGCGTCGCAGCTCCCCCGCAGCAAGCCTTCCAAGTACTGGTACAGTATGGTACAGACCGCATGGGTTCCACCGCATCGCAGCAGCGGGGTCTCGCAAGAAAGGGCTTTTTCTAATCAAAAGCCATCGACCGAGGATGTACTATACAGTACAAGTACATTTGCAATATTGCCCCACGAAAAATCAGAGTTATGCCGCTCTATCTGTCTGGATGAGTGTCACTAAGGTAAGTGCAGTATGGTTGAAGCATCATAGCGTTACAGAACAGGGCAATTGCCAACCAGTAGCCACAGATATTTATCAGTAGTTGCGAAACAATTATCGCACCCCCACCTGCCATCGCCCGCTGTAACGAATGGGGACCATCGCCGCCCCCGAGACAGGGTAGCCCTGCACAAGAAGTACTCGTAGCCTCTGACCCTGCCTTCGATTATCCAGTGGCATTTGCAGACCCAAATTAGACTTTGGAAAGGCGTATCGGCACGGTGCAAGGGAGTGCGTTCCCCATTCGGATAGATTAATCGGCCTGGTCATTTATGACAAGCGGGACTCTTGAGAAGCAAAGGCGATCCGGTGATTAGCGGGAATCGCTCGAGGGGTGCAGGCAACTTACCGCATATGCCGGACAGAACTTCATGGTATCATAGAAGGGTATGAATGAGGTACCGGTGATGTCGTACCTACCGTACTCGAGTGTAGTATTATACCAGGGTTCAGCTCTGCACTCACGCAGGCCTGCAGCAGCCCCCACAACAACCTTGCCTTGGTTGTAGATAACTTATGTCGTGTGGGATCCTCGGCCCTACGCTGTATTTCTTATAGGAACCCTTGTTCTCGAACTGTGCGCCATCTATTATTGTCCTTACTTGTTTTTTACTCCCCCCCTCTCCAAACATCTCCTGGACCGGTATAGCATTAAGATTTCCTGCTGACCATGTTGGTGCTCGGGATAGAGGTTGATATCATACTAGTTAGTAGCTTTTGTCGACAACCGAGATTTCGTAGATGTGTACAATCCGGACCGTAACCAATATTAGCCTAATCACCGATAGATATTAGGGTAGAGGGTCAAACTCCCCTCGTCATTGATGTCTCGGAAACTGATCAAGACGGCAGGAAATTTTCAACGCCAGGAAGTGCAGTATCATAACAAGGTATTTTTTTGTTACCCTGCTTTGACGAATCCACTTTTCTCTGCAAAAAAGAAATGAAGTATGATAAGAGTATTTACCTTGGCATCCATAATTCGCCCGCCGAATTTGGTCGTGTCCTACTTGGAGGCCGGAGGGAGGGTCGGACACCAAAAAGCCAAGCCTCACTCTCTTCGCCTAACACACAAGAGAAAGAACTGCCTTGCCATAAATCTGTGTGTGTTAACTAGTCCCAAAATGCTCCTCATACCGCTCTCAACTAATATTCGCTATATTAGGAAACGGAGCTCATACTACTCGAGTAGCACAGTACCCCCCAGAAAGTTACCAAACAGTTAATTTGGGTTAACCCGCAAAATAGTCCCTGTATTGTAATAGTACTCATACGAAACCCCCTGTGCCTTGTACGGTACTCGAGTAGAATTAAAAAGGGTGGATCCTAGGTCCGTCCAAAGAGTTTTTTTTATGAGAATATCGACATCTGGAATGCACCCTTCCTTAATTGGTATAAATTACTGGGGCCACTGGCGTTTCGGACTGAGACCTTGTTCCGCTGATTTCTTGGAAAAAGTGACGGATTAGGGGATAAAGAGTTCTCCCCAAAATTTTGTTATTAGGGGCCCGTTCGCTGTTGGATTTGTGGGGATTGGGGCAGATTTTGGAAGCTGAGCACCGTTGGGCACAAGCACAAGGAATATTAACGTTCTGGAAGGAAGCCTTGGGGCGGTGGTTGAAGTGCTCGTCCGTAAAGAGGTCGAGATTACCGGGATGCTGGCTTGTCTTACTCGGACAATACCAACACGCAATCGCCCCAAGTCTTGTCTCATATTATTACATTTCTGACGGCAGTGAGCGGCACCGAGGTAGCCCACAGGCAGAGCACAAAGGCTAAACGTACCATACGGTAAAAGCTGTCCAGAACCGGACACCTTAAGGGGAGACCTATCAGGATAGTGAATTTGAGGGTTCATTCAATAACACATTGCTTAGAGAATTCCCCAGTTCCGAAGCAGACGACTGTTAAATTCGAGGGTGGGGGGCGGTGTCACTGTCCAGGGTCCCGTTTGATCATCGTGGTTGCGAAAGGATTCTCAACGAAATTAGTACTAAATTAAGAACTTGCTCCAGAAGAAGAAGCGGGGAACAATCTTGGTCAAGCAAGGGGCTTGGATAAACTTTGTTGTTTCAACACTGTGCGACGGGCCCCAAGGCTGCCTCAAGCCCTTAGGTGGCTCCAGTTCAGAGAGAAGAAAGAGGAGCCCCGGAGAGATCATGATGTGTTTGCGCACCATAATACTGTGCGTACGGGCAATTGTTCAGCTCGCTCTAGAGCAAGCCGGAGAAGATATCTCACTTTGCTAGGTTTCATCTCAAAGCTTACCATCTTGCGTTGCGTTCAGCCCACCGTGTTTCTGATACCTACTCTACCTTCTGGGATTTTCTTTGAACTACAAGAGTATATACAGTATTACGTTTTTTCGGTTACAGAGGATGCACGACACCGGCACAGTCAACCACCAACCTGAGCGGTGATGCTACCCGTACGCACGAGTACAGTACAACACAGTATAGACCGTCAATCCACCACGGTCGGCCCGGAACATCAACGGCTCCTGCCGTGTTCCTGTGAACCAATGAGCTAGGACTTGTACTACCGGTAGTACTTGTACTCGTACCTTTCAGGCTTTGAACAGGTTCAAGATTCTATAAAGGGAAGTGAGAGGGGGGGAGCACAGAGAAAATTGAAAAAAGCAAAAGGGGAAATTTCGTAAAACAAAACCCGCATTGTGTCGACTTATCTTGTGGGAACCGCAAAATTTGTCACAATAAGAGGGAGCGTGCTTTTATCGGCAGTAACCTACGGTAACCTTTCTACTCGAGTATCACAACATCTCCGCCCCCACCGCATGCCCGAGACATCGGTCGCCATTCGACCACTGGCGTTCCGTTTCCTTGCCACCGATTGGGGCGCCTGGAATCCTACGAATACGGATTCGCACGATCGAAGGCAGGTCCGAAGGCTAGGAGAAAAGTGGAATTCAAAGGCGCGGAGGTGAAAATCCAACCCTCTGCCGGCGATAAATGCGCCAGCTCCGATCCCATGCTTCTCGGAGACATGACTATTTCCCCACACGATTCGAAGCACTCCGGAAATCGTGCGTTCATCGAAAGCCAATCATCTGCATAGGCAGGGGCTGGATGCAGGCTTTATCACACTGATTCCCCGATAAGATATTCATAATTTAAACTTGTGTTAGGTGAATCTTGAGGCGGATGGTGCAGCGAGAGGTGTTCTGAGTATTCTAGAAGGGGTCGGGCTTCCGCATTCAAATGCACTTTACCGCAAAAAAAAAAAAAAAAGCCATGATGGTGCCGAATGTAAGACATGCACAAGTGATACACTCGTAGTCTGATCGTACTCGAAACTACGGTAATTCTTGGATCGCGGGCTAATTCCTGCGGTATGGCTATTATTTCCTTGGTTAGCTACAATCGACACTTGTACTCGAGCGCATTTAATGGAAACATCCCTGCAGGCATAGTACGATGGCAGTATTGAACAGATCTTGAGCTCTACTCGAGTGCAAGTACTCGTACCGGTACAGGAAGACTGAATACCCTGTAGAAGTCCCCAGTCCGGCGCACAGCACTTCCTGGCCCCCACCTTTCTACTGGCTCAAGCACTGGGCTCCAGAAGCCCTTCTTGATTCCGTTCCTTGTGACGCCGAACGCATTTGAGTAACCTTTATTGCTCTGCTGATCTCAGTAGGGAATCAGCTAGGGGAAAAAAGCAAGTGAATTACATTGTCAGCTTGATCTCGCGCAAGTATAAGAAGAAAAAAGAAAAAAATTTCCTTCTCGAGGAACATATCCGTCAACAGGATGTGAAACAATTTGACACTTGTAAAGCCTACAAGATCTTGATAGCTTTCACCGACGGCGTTGGAAGGATGCCATTTTGCATAGAAGTCAGGTTCTTCCTCTGTAACTCAGAAGCATGGGCTTCGTAAAGCCGCCCATGCCATTCGAGCTGTAGTTGACGGTGCCGCGTCTTAACCATCGTGCGAACAAACCGGAAACGCCTCGTACACAGCTTACCGGGAAAGAAACTAGAGGAGGTACTGTACAGTACAGGTTCACGGTTTGCTTTATTGTGATTGGATGTCTTGGGAAAAAGAAAAATAAGCAGATTCCTGTTGTCCAGGGTTACTCCCGACCACTGTCAGCCTCCTAATGAGCGAGACGAGGCCATAATCTATGATACCATACCAGTATTCTGCCCGCCGCCCCGCGAAGAATAAGAGCGCACGCTATTGTTACACCTGCAGTCATTGAACATGATCACCTTTACAGTATCATAGCTTGAGTTTCGTTTCTGCTGTGTGGGAGTTGAAGTAACATCAATGCAGGGGTTCCCTGGAAACCGGTTTACAAGTAGCGTGGTTGCCAAGATTTCAATTAATTGGCCGCCGACTTCCCTCCCAATCCCGGGCCACCGCATCACCGATCATTCCAACACCTTTTTCCCTCTCTACAAGTACTAAATAATTGGATGAATAAGGGTGGGTGCATTCCGTTACAAATGGTTCAGCATTTGTATTTGATAAAACAAAAACGTCTGGTCCCGACTAGCCTGCAGGAAATGTCTTACCTGTCTCACCTAATGCTCTTAGTACTGGTGTACTCTCTATTATAGATGAGGACTCTACTAGCTCGATTATCGGCTTTGAGAGCAGTGTAGATGTGGCGCCTAACAAGTTCTAGGCTCTGGGGGAGTTATATTTTATTTGGGGTCAACTAGGGTATTACTTCCTGCGACAGTATATCCATTCGCAATTAATAACAGTACTGGAGCGACATGAAGCGCAGATCCCCAAGAGAGGAAATGCCTGTTTTTTCTCCTTGAGAGTAAGGTCCGCGTCCACTTCCTGTCCCTTGGGCCTTGTATATGCTTCTGTTTTGTTTTCGCGCGTGGATACTATGCGGTTCCCGATTTAGCCCATCAACTATGCGGGCAAGACAGCAGGCTAACGGACCAATGCGCTTGATATGATACGGTGGTCCCGGTACGATAATATCTGGGGAACAAACCGGGACAATATTTGAGACAACATCATCTTGATACCGGTAATGAGTGTAAACACCTGGTTGTGACCCGTGGATAGCCTATGATACTTGAGTCTGTGTTACACACTTCAGGGAAAGAACCCGGCTCTGAGCAATGTCTCTACCACCGAGACAGAAGAAGGGTATCGGCGGCTTCCCTGGCACAAAAAGTGATTACACCCTCAACTGGAGCCCCGGGGTTGGTTATCTCGGGCCGAGTGACTGTCTAAGACAACGAGAGTAAGTTACGCTGTTAGAACCGTGTGCCCGGAAGGTACCTCTGGGTTAGTGGGGGCCGCCGAATCCTCCAAGGCTCTAAATAATATCTCAATGTGCTGAATGCTGACGCACGGTTAGGAGTTCGGGAATTGTATGGAATCATCCGTTGCTTTTTCCGCAACACACCATTACAGTACACATGAACACAATGTCTACGGTAGATCGAGACAACCTAATAGATGGTGTGGTGGTACAGACTTTCACCACAAGTGCCCTACCCATTCATATCAATAATTTGATAAATGGTCACTAATTCCCCGGGAGATCAGACAGAAACTCTACTAGCTTCTTCAGAAATAGCCATTCCTTCGCTCTAAGAAATCACCCTTCTTTCCACATCTTCTCTCATTTTACCTCTTCCTTTTTTTTCTTCCAAATAAGTAATAACTCGTCCCAGAAGACTCCAATACACCTTCTTTCCTCAGCTTTGACGAAAAACTCCAATCCTTACACTACACGAGAAATATGAATTCGACTCCCGGCACGTCTTCAGCGGGTTCCGCCCCTGGTTTTTCGCGGAGCAGTCAAGACCAAAACGCCGGTATTGGTCGTCGCCCCAGCCGACGTGCCCGAGCAAGTCGTAATCCACCGAGGCGTACAACAAACGGCACCCGCATGGGCGTAGAGACCCCAGAACAAGTAAGAGCTTCACTGGATCTGTGGGAACCCAGCCAAGAGCTGGGCAGAGACTACTTCGACGCAAAGGAAAAAATGGAAAAGAGAATCGAGGCCATAACAGCGCCTCTCTCTCTCGACCCCCGACCCAACGACTTCGTTCGACCTGCTAATGGCCACGCCACACCCAACTTCCAAGGAGAAGTCGGTGGTGAACCTATGACCCTCGATGCGCTTCGCCCAGTGAATGGTGACTATGGTTATAGTCTGCGCAATTTTATCACTGACGACTCGAATATTCCCGCAGGAGGAGCCCCTGTAGGAGAAATTTATGCCTACCCGGAATACGCTCACCGCATTCCCTCGACCTCGGGCTTGCGGACTGGAGCAACCTGGGGGCGGTCGGAGAAAGATGGAAAAGTGGGGAGAGGGTATGGGAGCTGTGGGCGGGGGGAGGAGGTTGTGGGTGCCCCAAGCCGCCAATGAGGCGGAGGAGGGGAGGGGGGGCCATGGTGGTGGACCGGTTTTTTAAGCTCCGAGGTATGATACTACCTGCTTCTTGTTTTTCATGTGCATTACTTATCTTTGCTTTCACTATAGTGGTATTGCTATTTGGTTACTTCATACTCCACGGAGGTGATCGCGCACCTCCTTATCGCCCATTAGCAATAATTTGGTTTTTTTTCCAACGACCGCCCGTGTTGGGATTAAGCTTTCGTAGGTTTTCAATGTCAGTCAACTTCATGAAGTATAAATCCACTGACACATGACTCTAATTGCAGTAGATGGAGGCTGATCCTTGCAGGGTCGAGGGGAAGAAGTTACGGAAGCCTAGGGCAGCCTCACGACAGAATATTTTAGTATCAATTTTTAATCAGTGAGTCTTCCTATAGGTTCTACAAGCTGAAAAAAAAAAACATATCCTAACAGCATCGTCTCTACAGCAAATTTTAATTTTCACCCTTTACTTTCAACCTCATTTTATTTTAATCTGTCAAGCATCTTATTTATAATGTACTTTTCACAATTCAAGCCATAATTGTCAGGAGGCAAGGAAGAGCTGTGGGTTCCCTTTCAGAGATTCCTTGTATCACTCTCTACTCTCCCGAGCGCTGAGATTTGTACCTGAAGATAGACATTGTGATAGAATTATTGTTTTCCATATTGAACTTTCTCAAGACATTGCAATCCAAGTCAGAATATTCCGACCGGTACCCTTATCTCTTGTAAATACCCCAATTCCGCGCACAAACAGACCTACACCCAAGCCTCCTCGCCCAAGGTGAGAGATCAAATTTCCAAAGTTGCGCGAACCACCCACAGCTAATGGTTACGCCCCACGTGGAGTGTGGGACCTATGATATACCAAATTGTAGGTTTTCTACCGGGAAAAAAGTGCCGTGTGGAAAATCGAGCAGCAGCCCCGTACGCGAGAGTGGTGAGAAGGGCGGAAATCCTGCGAGGAAAAGCATTACCCCGGCCAACCCCCACCGACCCCCCTTCGTAACACAGGAGTCGTGCGAGGGGCATTGCTCGCCGCGACGAATGGTCTCCCCTCCCCACCCCCCCACTCGTTATTATCTAGTCATGAGAATAACCTGTCCCTGATTCTAGGGAACTCCTATTCTATCGGTCTTCTATAATGAGGAATGCCAACGGAACCCCCCAGAGCCTGCTAGTCCCAAAACTGCAGATTTTGGCGAAATGATTCCCGGCACCGGATTACTAACCAAGTTGGACCAAGGGCTTACCAACTGAGCCGCATTCCCCCGAGTGATAACTGATGACGACGGGTGCGAGCCCGTGATTCTGGGTGCCGAGTTCACCCCTATTCCCGTCGAAATTCGAAAAAATAACCCAAGAAAGCTTCTGTCAGGTTCCCCATAGTTCGAGCGCCAACTCAGAACTCCATGGGAACCTGAGTGCAACGTGTAATGCTCTACAGATCGAGGGCTGACAATCCTGTGCGCGTTAGTTGGGGCGAGGTGTGGGGGGGTGGGGCGATCGCGAGCCAGAGTCTGACTCGATTGTCCTCCTGTTTGACGTGGATGAGCATTTCCCCCGGGTTTTCGCTCCACTGCTGTGTTCACAAGTATGATCAAGTTGGCCTCAGGGCGAACGAGTGACACCCAGGAAATGCGCAAAGCAAAGAATTACACTCGAATAAAATCTCGCCAGTAAACACAAAAGCGAGAGAGTTTACACGGCTCGATCACGGATGCCGAGTTTAATAACCGACCGAAACACGGCCACAAGACCACCCCCCTCGCAGCGGCGTCGTTCGCCCCAACTGTTTCAGCTACAATACAACCTACAGGCCGTGTGCGGGTCGCTGGCCAACTTGACGTTTTTAGTCTGATCCCCAGTACATTGCCATTTTAAGCCTTACCTGTATGCGAGTGGTGCGTCGCCACGAAGTCCTGCTGATACCAGTTGCCGGTATCATTTCCCCCGTTTCGTAGATAGTGTGGAGTGATGAGAGCCGCGTTGTGGTGAGGGATTTTCAGGAGGACCACCCCTCGAGTCATAATCTGTGAATTAAACTCGAGACCCGCTTTCCGGTTGCAATATCTAATCCTGGTCGCAGCTGATTCCCTTCTACGTACCTATTGGCTCCTGGATGCCAGCGCTGCGATATAGTGAGTAAAATTACACTTCTAAGTGAATTTCGTGATGCTTGTCGGCAATGATCGGCAGTGAGGAAATGTCGAGTTTGCATGGTTAACCCCCAACCCCCCCCCCCGAAATACGAGATGGGCGAGAAAGGAGCCCATCGAAGAAAAGGAAGAATTGAAAACGGTTCATGGAGACGGAATTCTCGAGCAATGCGCAACCGAGGGGCTCAGCTCCTCGCGCACCCCCCAACCCCAGCTTCCCGCCCTCTGAAAGTTTAGCCCGCTTACTCCCCGGGTTTGTGTAGATTGTATCACACCCTCCACCCGTACGGAAATCCGAAGAGTTATCCTATCATACTCGGGGGTCGACAAGAGTCGTGCCCGCCTCCAGTGCACACAGAACGTGCAGCACCAATACGCGACTAAACCATTTTGGGAAGTCCGAGTGATAAGGGGTGAGTGTATTTTTGGTGGGGGTGAAGGGTCGCGGCCACTTCCGAAAGGTTCTCGGGCAGCGAGCTGGACCAGGACTTGTGCTACGTATGACACCGCCTCGAATATCATACCCCTACACTCGAGTATATTGGGAAAAGTCGCAAGCAAATTCAGAGCGGCAGATTGGTCACAAAAACCTCGCTCAGTTACACCCTTCAGTCGAGAAGGACCAGAATGCCCTTATGGAAATGAGGCGGGGGGGGGGGAAATAATTTTTGCATGTAATAACTTGGTCGGGGTATCACACTTTCGTTGCGGTATCATATCACACATTTTTCTTTTTTGCGGTATATCACACTTTGCGAAAAAGCAAAATAATAATAATAATAATCGCAGGTATGATATTAAAAAACTCCTACGAATTTTTGCTGCCCCATCGGCAGTACCGACAAGTTCGCCTAGGAGCGGGCAAACTTCACCCCTATCAAAAGGGCCCAGAAGGTCGACACGAGCTTCCCCATCAGCTGAGCAAAAACCAAAAAACAAGAACAAAAACGAAGATTGTGAGATCATTGACAATGAAGCACGCGTGCCTCAGTAAAGTGTTCTTCCTAATCACCACCCCCCACTCGGCGAATTCTCCGGTAACAGAGAGGTTCTTGCGAGTGACCATCCGTGAGGCGAACGTTGCTGGCTGCGCGTGTTGATTCCGCCGGTGCGGAACCCAATGGGAATGACGCATCGACCTAGACATTGTCGCACAGTAATCGATAAGACAACTCATGACTTTTCCGCACCGAACGGTACTCTACACCGTGTTTGTTCTTTTGTCGCGCCGTTACGAAAGCCCTTGATAACCGATTGGTTGATAACGAGCGGGTTGTGTTCAATCCGATTATCTGGTACGGTGTCTAGAAACCCTTTTCCCTCTTAACTTTATTGGTATGATAGCCCATGGGCAATCGGGCTCGGCAACCACCGTCATGAAACACAATCCCGCAATGCCCTCTTTACCTTCCACCGGCGCCGTCCGAGTGTCCGTCTTGTACGATACTACTAGTACACGTTGGTTCGGTAATATATGGGAGTACTCGAGTACCTATTTGTTAGCCCCAAACGGGATTGACTTGGGGAGCACACTACAATTTTTTTCTTTTTCTTTTTCTTTTTCTTTTTAAAAATAACCTCTTCCCTTCGACACTCTTGAACTATTTCGCCTCATATCTAATGGGTGGGCATACCTAAAGCGGAATACAGCTCTGGCCCAAAGCGAGTGAGAGGCCTCAGCACAGTAATTGACTGGAATAACCGATTATGATGATGGAATGATACCTCACTAAATTTATCGGGGTTCCGCTTTCGCAGGCTGGCTCGGGTTTTTGAACCCGAGGGGCCGCCGATGTTTCCTGTCGTTCAAAGCATTTGAAGCGCTTAGCCACGGATGGACATGAGGGTAGTAGAATAATCATCCTAGGGCGGAAGTAAACTTTCATTGAGCGTTAAGTTAAATCTTTTCCGGTGGGGAGGTACAGTGCTGTCAACGCCAGTGCTTATGGTTCGGTTGATAAATTTGTAAAAAATTCCAATGGATTTTGGAGAGGAAATCGTGTATCATTTTGACTAGGTTTCTTTGTAGGAGAGCTATTCGCGAAGGTGCCACTGCGGATATGGGTATGTATTTCCATCATTGGACTCGCCACTACTCCAGAGAGGGAAACATGGAAAATGTGATACTGCACTCATGACAGTGCGCCCCGGGCATTCCACCAGTCGTGTTCCTGGAGGTCTATCCCAGCGAGCTAAGAATTTCTAGTGCATTATTCATCATAGACAGTCACTCGCGCTGGAATCGGCTGCATGCTGTGCCTCCAATTGGGCGAAGGGACAGGCCTGGTCGCTCTAAAAATCGGGGTTTTTTTTTTCTAGGCTATCAGTTCAACAGGCGATAATGATTTACCCTTGTCCGGGAGGCCATTTTTATGCCATAAAAGTCGATTTTATGGCATTAATTCTCCACAAAGAATGTTGATATAGAGGGGGCGTTTGATTTGAAAAATAAATATGCCGTGTTATTTTTATGTTTCGATATTTCTTACAATAATAATATTAATATGGCATATTATTTTTCCAGTAAGAAGGAATGATAGGGTACAAATTTGTCTGAGATTCTGAATAGGTTAGATTTTTTTCTAGAACCTTAACACATGTTAATAATACATATATATATATATATATATATTGTTAACTAGTTTTGGCTTTAAATTTAACAGCAAACAATGTGGTTATCATGATATTCATTTATTGGCATGCATTAAATTTTGAGCATACCAAACCCACCATATTTTATTTTCAACATATATGTTTTGAAATGAATTTTTCTGATTATTCTGCTCACTCGCAGCAGACTTTCAAATGCCTTCTTTTGAGAGCCTAGAGTATTATACCTGCTAGAAAAGTTGTTTTTGTATCATATCATATCTTATCCACAAGATGAATTCTAACGGGCCATAACGACTCAAATGCCTGCCATCTCATCCGAACTTTGGAAAAATTGGCAAAAAGTCGTATTATAGATTCCAGGTACTTACCTATTCTTTGAACTTATTTCAAAACACATTTCATGAGAATCCGCGGAATAACAGTTACCCGGGCACTTGTACTGTATTTTTCGCGTGATCGGTCTTCCGTCCGGCGGGCCCGCCTGGGGTGTAGGCGTCGCGAAGTAGGAGGTGATTATGAGTGGATGATAGCTGGAGATATGGGGTATAAAAGGATGATGCTACAATATGTCGTACCGGTACAGTGGGGAAACTCCGAATTGTTAATGGTGACACCAGCTATGGATAATTTACTGAAGAGTTAAGTGGCTGCCGAACAGAAGAAAGTCACCGGGAGGCTGTGGTATGGCGCATGGTTAGGTCGTAGTGTACAAGTACAGTGCTCGAGTACGTTTCCTACGAATACCGGCTATCATAAATATAGAAGCCGGGAAAGCTAATTCCTCAAATATCCAATTCTTGGGTATCGAATGGCGCATTCCGTTTTCTGAGAAAATAGTATCGCTTTATTAAGTAGCACTCACCACTACCGCGACAAGAAAATGATCTCTGAAAAACACCCCGATTTCAAATTTCACATTTTGGGACAACGAAAAAAAGGGTGCTTTTATTCCATGACTGATGAAACCCCTTGATTACCATGAAAGAACCCCCCCCTATGCCACCCCGACCCTAATTTACCCAAGCCATAAAACTCCCTGAAAAAGCTCTAGATTTAAGCAGTAGTAGTCTTAGCAGCAGCCTGGTTAGGGTTGATCTTCTTCCCATCCTTGTTGTACCGAATACGTGGAGGAGGCGCACGGTTGCGACGTCCTTCTCGGGAACGGACACTGCACAGTCGCATTAGCTGACTGTGGCTCACACATCTGGTGCGAGGTATGCTATGGAACACACCGAACAATCTTTCCATGGATGGCGCAAGAAACGCAGTATTGAAGCTTCAAGTACATCTTAGGAACGGTGTACTCGGGGAAGACGGAGGCATCGGAAATATCACCTAAATACCTCATAGTTAACCACCCATACCTAAGCAATTAGTATAGAAGGGAGAAGTACGGATGGCGGCAGACTCGACCATATTACGGATGGTGAATCTCTTGATAGCCTTATCCTTGGGGGTGCATCGAGAGCAGTTCGAACAACGGATAGGCTTGACATGTCCGCGTCCCTTCTTGTTGCGACCGCTATTCAGAAAATCCTCCATCAGCATCTCCTTTCTTAACCCCATTCTACCTTGTTGGTCTCCCACAGACATGACCTCGTCCCAAATTGCTAGGATCTTGCCACATTGGCTCCCCGTAGAATCGGAATTGAGTAGACGTACTTGGAAGCTCTTTTCTTGACCATGTTTCCGGCTTGACGTTGCTAAATCGAGATATCCGCCAAAAATTTAATTTCCACACAAAAACCGTAGCTCGGGGGAGTTTTCTTACGGTGTTAAAAAGGTGTTTGATTCGTTCTTCGGGCGAGTGGTTGTTTGGTCGTTGGGCGTCTGAATTGAGGCGAATTGAGAGCGCGTGTGTATGATACCCAAATTTTGGTGGGGTTTGGAGGAATTGTGTGTTGTCGGGTGTGACGGTTGGAGAGGTTAAAGCCCTACCGATGTTAAGTGGTCTTGGCGCGCAAGTTTTCTCAATAACAAACTTATTAGAGATGATTGAAGGTAGAATAAATAATTGTCAGGGTTTTCGTTCCTATCGGTTTCCACTAGCTCTTTATGGGTTATTCCTGGGAGACTTGTATGATATGATACTTCGATTGGGGTAGTTGGGGTTGAGATAGAATGTTGGAGGGTTAGGCTGGAAAGGAGGGGCATTGCTTGCGTTTCTTTCAACTCTGAATCCTAGTCTTGGCAAGCGCACAACTGAATACTCGGGAGAAAAACTACAACGTTTGCTGAAAAAAGTCCCTTTCGATTGTCAACGAGCCCAAATTATCAGCTTTGGCAGCAATCATGGAGACGCCAATAAATACCCTTATGGTTGAGGGGTCTATCGACGGTATCTCCCGATTTCATTTTTTCTTGTTCCCAAGATTGGAAGACTGAGCTGGAAACTAATAACGGGGGTGGTGAGGTATCAGACCAAGTGCTCGAGATGGCCCAGTATCTCGAAACACGGAAGGGATCGCAGGGGCTTGTCGCTCAAATCAAATCGCAGTTTGAAGGAGAGGCCTACGATCTCGATGGTTGTTTGCGTGAGATCGTGAACGCAAGCAGCGCCCTTTCTACCGCCCCGGAGAAAGGTAACGTCTTCTCCCCTGATACATCGCGGAGGTTATTTTGCTAAACATGGGATAGAATTTATTCCTGCTTATAACCTTCTTATACACCTTATTCGCTCGTCAACAGCACTACCGGAATTCCTGCCCACGATTCTGAAAAATCTCTCCACACCCCCTTCCACATCCCCGATTAACGGACCCGCTCTTTCGGTCCACGCTTTATCAACTATCTTCAACGTTCTTCCTGCCAACAGCCCTTTACGGTACCCAGTCTTCAGGGCAACTTTACAGGTTGTTACTGATCATGGAATGCACGACGTTTTGGCTCCCCAATTAAGGAATATTGAACGATGGGTCGGGGAATGGGGGAGTTCTATCGCCGAAATCAGGGATCTATATCTTACTGTTGCTGACGTGGCCGAGAAGGCTGGTGATGCTGAGTACGTCCTCTTTCGAATCACTTTCCCCTAAACCAAAGCTAACTCACGATAGCCAATTCTATTCCTTCCTTTTCCGTACCTTGCAAAGCTTTACCCCCGAAGAATCCACCGGCGAAGAAGCTCGAACGATTGCCGTACGCTTATTGAAAGCATCGGTCAACATGCCGAGCCGTCTCGAATTTGATGATATCATCGCCCTGGACCCAATTCAGCAACTTTCTAACACCGACCCGGAGGCCTTCGCTCTATTGGAGGTATTCGCTGGCGGGGATCTTGAGGATTATGACGAATTTAATGATGAGCACGATGGCTGGGTTGACGACAACGGTTCGCCTCACCATCACTTCCTAAGAATATACTCTAACTATGAACAGGAATCGACCACTCTGTTGCATTCCGCAAAATCCGTCTTCTGACTCTTGCATCACTAGCCTCCACCGCCTCGAGCCGCGAGCTACCGTATTCTGTAATTGCACGCCGTCTGCATATCCCCAGTGAAGAGGTAGAGCTTTGGGTAATCGATGTCATCCGTGCAGGACTGGTGGAAGGCAAACTCTCTCAACTTAACCAAACATTTCTCATTCACCGTTCCACCTATAGGTCTTTCGGGAAATCTGAGTGGGAAGAGGTTGGTATTAGATTAGATAACTGGAAAGCCAGTTTAAGAAATATCCTAGAGGTTGTCAGGGGTGCCAGAGAACAGGTTGTCTCCCAGGGTGGTGATGGTGTAGTGAAACCGGCAATCAATGGAGGGGGGAATTCTTTGCAGGTCGAGGGGTAAATCGACAGGTGGTGGCGCGATCCGAGTCATACTCGGTATGAAAATGAAATGGGCTCTTCCTCACTAAGGGATTTGCCTTACATGTAATCATTAAGCATCACTCGCAAACATATTTGTGCATTAAATTGATAGAGACTCAATGGTGCCCGGCCGTAACTCATGTGAATTTCCAGCATCAATACATACTACAGGAATTTCGGAGTGGCTCTAAATCTAAAATGTATATGTCTCTAGGTCGCATCTTATGTTTGTATTCTTATGCTGAAGCCGGTATGGCCATGGTCATCATTCTCAGAGCGGTCGAAGCGGAGGTCCCCACTCTGATCCCCTTAGCCCTGTGGAACAAGTGTATAAACAATATGGTGAATACGGTGCGGCTTCCGTTTGGCAATTTTTCAATCTCTAATACTAAAAAATTTAGACCTTAAATACCCAAGTCTCAAAATTAACTACTCTTGATTTGATAAAAAAAAGAGTACCATAAGCTCTGAGTTTTTCTTCGTAAGTGACTTGGCTCAGAAACAAAACTTATCGACATCGACAAGATTCGAACTTGCGCACCCGAAAGTAAGAGATTTCTAATCTCTCGCCTTAACCGCTCGGCCACGATGTCTTAGCATCTAAAGGACTAATTGATATAGGAAGGCACTAATCGAGTTGGTAGGTTTGTTAGGATTAGAGAGGGAGCGAGCTATGGTAGAAGTCCCGGTTGGATAGTGTTCACTGTGTATCGATGGAGTTATTAATTCCGAGTGCTTAGGTGTCCGTGAATTCAGTTTCGGGCTCCAAATTACACATATTACCACCCACACGAAAGCTAGAGTAGGGGATAATAGGAGCGTCTGGTCTGTTTCCATTCCGGTCGAACGAGCGAATTGCAAACTAACCACACCTTGAATCAATCGCACCATTCCATGCGTATAATACGAAGAAGGGCTAAAGGCTTAAATAAGACATAGTGGGTGTTAAAAGTGAATTATCAGTACAATATTGAATGCTCCAAGGAAACGAAACAGCCATCTTATGGCGGAAATATGGGTCCAGTACCATCCGGTGATTTCCTCCCTGTAGCTAGTAATTCCTTGTACAAATACATGAGCACAGGAGTCGATACTTAGTGGTGTAGTATTGGTAGCTCAAAAACATTGGCATGATATGCGGGGAAGTGGGTGCGTGTAGTGGTATCATAGCTTACCAAAGAAAAAAGAAAAAAAAGACTATTCTTTACATTTTCACACAAGTATTCGTGAATGAGCAATTACTGGACTTGTCTTGCGTCCCCTTCCTTGCTCGTGCTCTACCAATACTATCATAAATTGCTATCACCCACCCTTCCTTCGAAGCAGTCTTTGCAATCAAGGACTTGATAATACGAGTGAGATTCTGTGCCGTGGGTTCCTGATTGTCTTGGCATCCACAATGCTCTTATTGTACTGTACCATACTCGTACAGGGAGCTCTATGAGCACAAGTATGATAGTGTAATGGCCAAGGACGAAAATCACAGGCCTCCAAAGGACTGGCGGTTGCCTTGCAGCAACGTCGCTCCTTTTCCGTCTTCGCTTCTTTCTCTGCTTCTCTCATCAGGATCTCTATCCTCTCTTAGATGGAATTGTTTTGTTCCCTGTTTTCTATCCCGCACACGTTTTGTTACACTACACGTGCTCTCCGGTCAACTCCTTTCCCATCACGAAACAACCAATTAGGCTACGCCCGACACACCCTCCCTCCACACACACCTTTCTCATTCCCAAACGCCAATAACACTCGACGGAAACAGGTATATAAGGCCCCACCTCATATCCTACCGTATGTCTTCAGCTTTCCGCTCCATCTCCGGTAGGATCGCCTCAAATCTTCATTACCCTGTCTGCAACCGCGCCGCAGCACTCACGAGACAACACCTTCATTTTCAAACCAGAAATATACAACTTTCGTCGGTTCCTTCGTCAGCTCCTTCTGCATTTCGCAGAATCTCGGCAAGAAATTACGCGACGGGCCCCAGAAAAGGTGGAGAAACCGGCGGCTCCAAGAATCCGTTTCCCATAATCCCACTGCTTGCCATCCTTGTGGCTGGTAGCGGAGGATTCTACTTTCTTGTGCAGAGCCGCAAAGGTTTGTTTATCATTGCTATATCCACAATGCTTGCCAGCAGACTGACGAGAGTGCTAGAGCCAATGCCTGCCATCGAAGAGCCATCGGGGAAACCTAGGCTGGCAGCTGGGGACGTAAAAAAGCCGGCTTTTGGTCCGGGAGAAGTCTCAGTTATCTTTGTCCTCGGTTTGTTTTTGGGGTCCTTACTTTCGTGGAAGGGAGGCGATACAGGAGCGATTAGTATGGTGGATTGCTGACGATGATTTAGGTGGGCCGGGGGCTGGAAAGGGTACTCAGTGTCAGAGCTTGGTGAGAGATTACGGGTTCGTTCATTTATCAGCTGGAGATCTTCTTAGGGCCGAACAAAACCGTGAAGGTTCGGAGTTTGGCGAGCTGATCAAGACGTATATTCGCGAGGGAAAGATTGTACGTCGTCAATCTACCGGTGGGGTTGGTAGAGAGAGGGGGGATATACGGTGACTGACTGGTCGTTCCAGGTCCCTATGGAGGTTACCGTTGCCCTCCTCGAGAATGCCATGAGAGATGCTATTGCGGCCCAGCAGAAGACTGTGTTTTTGATTGATGGCTCGTCTCCTTCAAATGGCTGAACGGTGGATTGATTTAATTTGTTTGACTTATAGGCTTTCCCCGTCAGATGGACCAAGCTCTTAAGTTCGAAGAGGAAGTGGCTGAATCTAGGCTTACCCTCTTTTTCGAGTGCCCGGAGGATACTCTGCTGCAACGTCTCCTCAAGCGTGGTGAGACTAGTGGACGTATTGATGATAACATTGAGAGTATTAAGAAACGCTTTCACACCTTCGAGGTCACCAGCATGCCTGTCGTAGACTACTACGAAAAGAAGGGTAAGGTTGTGAGAATCGACGCATCATCCACTCGGGAGGGGGTGTACTTGCAGGTTCAGAAGCAACTTGCCGTATGCAAGATCCCATCACATTCATATATCCGCGTGAAATACTGATTTCCCGATAGGATAAGCTTAAGGCTTAGATGACTTATCAGTTTGTACTGAACGATACCTGTGAGTGCTTTTGACTGGGCATATTGGGTTTCTTTTTCCGTTTGCCAATTCACGCGCGGATGGTTGTACTAAGACTTCTCGCCTTTCCTTTGTTGGCAATCGGAGTGTTTGTTTGCTATATATTTTTCGCTGCGGATATCCGTGTTGGGGTTGGATCTTGGTGGAAGGGACGAGCGCTGAAGTAGATAACTATAGACCTGCTTTGCTTTGATTTTAAAGGGATGCACTGAACCCGAAAGCCAGAATGCTATATGGTATATATTGTACACAGTATAATGAGTAATAGTGGTATCGCGATTCAATGACCTCCCGTGCTGAAAGTTACAGCTTGTTGGGTAAAACAAGGAATTAGGGCACAATCCCCGACTCACCAGACACGACTCTCTATTCCTGACCGCGACGACCGGCAGCGATGACCTCTAATTGAACACCCCTACCACCCAAGCAATGCCAACAGCCTTCTCTGTTACACGCTCGTAATCACCATCCCCCCCCCTTTTCTTTCGGCGAAATTTTCACGATGCCGGAAGTATACACAGAACTAACAGCACCAACCTCCGTATCCTTCTCTCTCAAGCTCCCCTTCACTTCTGCAACCTCCGAAAACGTCCTTGTCGCCAAAACCTCCCTCCTCCAAATATTTACTACCACCACATACGAAACCGAACTCAACTCCGCCTTAGCAGACGCAAAGCAACCCGGCGACATCGACCGAAGAATCCTCGATGCAGACGAGGAGCAAACCTTCGCAGCGGACATTGCGCTACAACGCTCGCAAGTCGAGTCAGTCACGAAACTAGTATTGGTAGCAGAGTACCCACTTTCTGGATCTGTGACTGGTCTGCAGAGGATAAAATTGCTGTCTACCCGCTCGGGGGGTGAAGCGGTGCTGGCGTCGTTTAAGGATGCCAAATGCTCATTGATGGAATGGGATCCCGAGACGAATTCGATTACTACGATTAGTTTGCATTATTATGAGAGGGAGGAGTTTTGTTCGCCTGTGGTGTCTGATGGATTGCCAACGGAACTGGTGGCGGATCCGGGAAGTCGGTGTGCTGCTTTGAGATTTTCTGGGGATATGCTTGCTATCATCCCCTTCAGGCAGCGGGAGGATGAAGAGCTTTCACTTGGTCGTGGAGATGCTGATGAGGTTATGGGTGATGAAGATGGGGATAATGACGATTGGGATCCGGAGATGGCGGGTACTGCACGCGGGGAGGATACTATCATGGGCGAAGGTGACGTTAAGACAACTGACGCTACCGAAGGAAAAGATAGGCCGTATCATCCTAGTTTTGTCCTCTCAGTATCCCAACTTGACGACGCGATTTCACATGTTATCTCTCTCACATTCTTGCATGAGTACCGGGAACCTACATTTGGGATATTATATTCCCCGAGAAGAACCTGGACGGGTTTGCTCGCTGCAGAGGGGAGGAAGGATACTATTTCTTATATTGTTATCACACTTGATCTCGAACAGAAAGCTTCGACGCCTATTTTGAGTGTGTCAGGTTTACCGTACGATATATTCAAGGTCGTTCCACTGGCGCCCCCAACTGGGGGCAGTTTGCTGGTTGGTGGAAATGAACTTATTCACGTGGATCAGGCTGGGAAGACCACCGGTGTTGCAGTCAATCCATTTTGCAGGCGGAGTACCGGTTTTGCAGGACTGGCTGATCAAAGCGACCTATGCTTGGAGTTGGAGGGAAGCCAAGTTGTTGAGTTGGAAAGCGAAGGTGGCGATATGTTGCTTTTTACGAAACGGGGTGAAGGAGTTATTGTGGGATTCAGGATGGACGGTCGGAATGTTAGTGGTGTTAAGATTACCAAATTAAATAATCACCCAGGGTCCATAGTTGGTGGGAGAGTTAGCACCGCTGTTGGACTTGGTGGGAGAAGGCTTTTTGTTGGTTGCATAGAGGGTGATGCCCGAGTGCTTAAATGGAGGCGAAAAGGCGAAAGAAAGAAAGCGGGAGAAGGTATTAAAGAAGAAGTTCTAGAAAACGAAGACGAGGATGATGTTTATGGAGCTTTGGAAGATATGGATGATGACCTATACGGGGGTGGTGGAGATTCAAGCTTCCGTAAAGATTCCCTTACTAACGGCCGGAGGAATAGTGAGGCGAAATCTCAAGGAGAATACATTTTCCAAACTCATGATCGCCTGACAAACCTAGGTCCGTTTCGGGATATAACGCTTGGCAAACCAACCTTCCCAGAGGAATCAAGGGAACGCCAGAAGGGCGTCTCCCCGGAATTGGAGTTGGTGACCACCTCCGGCCCCTCTAACACGTCGGAGGACTCCGGGATAAGCATAATTCGAAAGTCCATCTCGCCCACAATTGTTGGGCGTTTTGACTTTCCCCAATGCCAAGCTTTGTGGACCGTCCGTGCTCGCTCAGCAAATACCTCTAATGCAGCAGTCGGGCTCGGCGGCGAGGAAGATGACCGCAGCGTGGAGGAATCGTTCGATCGCTTCCTCTTCGTTACTAAAAATGATGAATCGCAGGTTTTCCGTGTTGGCGATACGTTTGAGGAGGTCCGTGGAACGGATTTTGAGAGTGAGGGCGAAACCATTGAGGTAGGGGTTGTAGGCAACGGGATGAGGATCGTTCAGGTTGTTTCTGAGCAAGTTAGAGTTTATGATTGTGGTTGGTTTTCTCTAGTTTTTGTTAGAAATATAATCCTATTCACTCCCATATCTTGCATAATAATCCCCGCGCGATACCAGTCCATCCTTTGGGAGACTGATGACTATTCCTTTTCTTGGTGTTAGAACTGAGGCGATTAATGGCTGATTGTGACTGTTAGATTTGCAACTTTCACAGATTATTCCCATGTTTGATGAAGAGACCGGGGAAGAGGGACCTAATGTTCATAGGGCAAGGGTATGCGATCCCTATATTCTATTAATAAAGGTGGACGGGAGTCCTGCTGTGTATAAGATGGACTCGACGAACTTGGAGTTGGCTGAGGAAAGGGCCGATGCAATTAAAGTATGAGAGACATCCTTCTACCGCAATCTATTCGAGCTAATTTGAATAGTTTGATAAATACCAATCCGGTTGCATATATGCTTCCACCAAGGGCATCTTTATACCATTGGATGCCCCTGTTGAGAATGTGAAGGATTATTTATTATTCCTTCTCACTGTTGAGGGTGGTTTACAAGTACGCTAGTCTTGTTCTACTCTCCACAGTACCCAAGACTAATATTACTAGATATATGACTTGTCAAACCCTGTTACACCTTTATTTAGCGCCGAAAGCTTCAACACCCTGTACCCGCTCCTCCGCACCGACAACCCTACCTCACCCACCGCCAATCGCGAAAAGCACCGGTCAAAACAGTTAATAATTGAAATCCTAGTAGCAGATATGGGCGATTCGATATTCAAAGAACCATACCTGATCGCGCGAAGCTCGAACAACGACCTAACCTTCTATAAACCCTTCATCTCCTCCTCGCCTTCAACTCTGCGTTTCATAAAGTCTCCCAATCCGCATATAGCGTCAAACGAACTAAGCCTGAGTGCGGGAACCAAGAATATATTCAGACCACTGACAGCCGTCTATAACCTTGCGGGGTACTCCGCTGTATTCCTTCCGGGGGCAGATCCGAGCTTTGTTATCAAGACCGCGAAGTCAAGTCCCCGGATACACAAGCTCGCGGGGACCGGAGTTCGGAGCCTATCTTCCTTTCATTCTGCTGGCGCTGATAGAGGGTTTGTGTATGTTGATAGTTTGGTACAAATTTTCCATTTCCTCTCACTTGGACTTTAAGGCTGACCTTTTGGGGATGCGTAGGGCATAGTGAGGGTGGCGCTGATGCCTGCTGAGTTCACGTTTGATGGGAACTGGGGGTACAAAAAGGTAACACCCGGCGAGCATGTTCAGAGTCTAGCATACTTCCCACCGATGAACGTGTATGTTATTTCCACGAGCAAACGTCAGCCATTTGATCTCGCGGAGGAAGACGGTAACATTGCGAAAGACGGTATTCCTCCCTTCTTCCTTTGCTCTATTTCAACAAGCTAAAACGAAACCTAGATACAACCCTCCAGCCCGAAATAGATTCTGGTACCTTGAAACTTCTCTCCCCCCAAACCTGGACAGCGGTGGACGAGTACAAGTTCGCCCACAACGAGATTGCCCTCGTTGTGAAGACCATCTCCCTAGAAGTCTCAGAGCACACCAAGGAGCGCAAGCAGCTAGTATCCGTCGGCACCGCCATCTTCCGCGGCGAAGACCACTCCGCCCGCGGTGGCATTTACGTCTTTGAGGTAATCGAAGTCGTCCCGGAACCTAACCGCCCTGAAACCAACCGGAAACTAAAGCTCGTGACGAGGGAGGAAGTTAAGGGTACTGTTAGCGCCATATGTGGCGTGAACGGGTATTTACTCGCCGCTCAGGGGCAGAAAATCATGGTCAGGGGTTTGAAGGAGGATCAGAGTTTGCTGCCGGTGGCCTTCCTAGATATGTGCCTTTATGTCTCTGTTGCTAAGAATCTGGACGGGATGATCCTTTTTGGGGACTTTATGAAGAGTGTTTGGTTCGCGGGATTTTCCGTACGTTTATCTTCTATCCTGAAGCGGGTCTGGTTGGGGCATTTGTTAAAGGGTGGCTAATTATCCGGATAGGAAGAGCCTTATAAAATGACGCTCTTCGGAAAAGACACACAAAAACTCGAAATTATTTCAGCAGAGTTCCTGCCAGACGGCAATCAATTATATTTTGTCGTCGTGGACGCCGAATCGAATATCCACACATTACAATATGATCCCGAACGTACCTCCTCCACACACACACACACCTCCATTTCCTCCCTCAGGCTAACTTAAGATAGACCCCAAATCTCTTGCCGGCCAACGTCTAATCCGCCGCGCAGACTTCTTTTCAGGCCACGAAATATCCACGCTAACCATGCTCCCCTTCTCCCCATATTCACTCTCTGCATCCTCCAATTCCCACCTTCCCGCAGACGCAACAGACACTTCCCCATTACACCATCACCACCAAAACCAGCAACAACAACAAGAATACTTTGTCCTAGCCGGTACCCAAACCGGTAGTCTCGCCATGATCCGCACGATCCCGGAGACTGCCTACCGCAGGCTCAATATCGTGCAAGGGCAGATTGTCAACGGCGAGGAGCACGTCGCGGGACTAAACCCTAGGGAGTACCGGGCTGTCGTTAATTATAGTGGTGGCGGAGGCGGAGGGGCTGGAGGGGGAGGATGGGGTGGAAGTGGAGGGGGCGTGGGCGGGGATACCATGAGGGGGGTATTGGATGGCGGGTTGGTCTCTCGGTGGATTGGACTCGCAGAGGGCAGGAAGGGGGAGGTTTCTGCTAAGGCTGGTTGTGGAGTTCAGGGGATCAGGGGGGATTTAAAGCGGGTTGTCGAGTTGGAGGTTGGATATTTATAAGGTATTTTTTCCTTTGTTACACTATGACTGGGGGTTGGCTATGAATGAACCATGCTTTCGGTTCGGTCGGTTGGGCAGTTGTATAGAGTGTTGCAGAGATAATTTTAGGAGAAGCGGAATTACTTATTTTCCTGTCTATCTTCCTGTTTCTATCTATCTACGCGGAAGGTTTACGGAAAACGGGAGGCAATGAATTAAGAGTGTTCCAGTAAAAGAAGAGTCCAATATATCCCGATGCGTTGCCAAGCCTTCGAATAAACAAGTATTGATATCTGTTGTTATCGTAACGGCCCATCGATTCACCCTCACGCTCGTGTCTGGCTCTGAGCTTGGTTGGTTAGGGAGTCATTCTCAGAACTCCATCAGGGTGCCGGTTCCTTACATCGTTGAGCTATTTTGCTATCGTACTAGCTCTGACGAAATACCGGTACGGTAGCAGCACCTGCTAGTAGCCTATCCCCCGCTCTTGCTGATGTCGTGGCTTGAGCGCCACAACTCCGAACGCTTGTGGCCATGCTTTTCGGAGGCACTCTAAAGAGTGCCGGTGCCCGACCGCCCAGTATTTATACGATAACTTGCGGGCTCGACATGACATTGGGAGCTTACGGTACTTTACAAAACATTTCTACTATCCCCATACGCTTATTTCCCACAACCTTGCTCGTCACTTTAATACCCGGAACTGGTAGTTTGGATATATTCCTTTTGTGGGCTTCAATAGTACGCCTTTCTTTTTTACATGCACTCTCATCTCATGGAGTACGAGTAAAGGCTTATGCTCGAATGAAGTAGTAGTATGGACGACGACTAAGAAATCGCTAGGCCTAGTGTCCACGGACAGCGGGTGCAAGAGGTGGGCCAGTATGAAGAGTTAGGGAAGCGCATTTGCAACGGCCGGAAACCATTGGCAATCGGGCGGTAGCATCAAAGGCATCTAAATAGTCGAGGTACCGACAAACAGCAAGCTCTTGATCTTCAGAAGAAAAAATCAGTTTTATCACCGGTCGCTTCTTGTCCGGATCGGTATGGCTGCCTCGCTAATGCACCCGGAGTCGTGAAGCTGGAATTCCACACTCATAGTAACGCAGTCCTAGCTACGTTTAGTTGGGACTGCCCGGGGAACATGGAGGGACGCACGCGCTACCTGAAGATGGGTTCTCGATATCTTTGCAGGACTCTACCCACTGACCGGAAAGCGTAATGGGTGGTGAGTGGTATCATATCATGTATGATACAAATAGACAAGCTGTGCTCACTTTGAGCCCGTAAGTTATAGTCTATCGAGCTGGTCGGGCGTTCGGTAGAGTGCCCCCCGGAGAGCGGGCCCCGCAAGCGTTCGGGTACAACCTCGGCACGAGTACCAACTTACGGATTATCCCTCGACCCCACCATTCCAACTCCAAGCTTTTTAAACTGCCTAAGGGAGTCCATCCTGAACTAGATACAGTACTGTGCTTTGCAAGCGACGCTTTTTTCCCGCCGATCCAAAGTAGGGACAGTCCATTCGGTATTGCCCGCAAAAGTATAGTACCGTAGTTCCTTTGGTTCTCTTTCTGGAAGCTCTAGCGATTTAGGCCTGCTAGATTTGTAGGGGAGAGGGGTTATGTTCTGACGGGATGCTGCTCATATGCCAAGACAACAATGCTTATCAGATCATTTCCTTACTTGGCAATAACTTGCGCAGTTTTGGATGAGATAAGAGCGGATTGGTACAGTATGATACACGGCTAAACCAAAAGGGGAAAAGCTGTCCCCTAGGCTACTGGTTAAAGAAGACCATAGGTTTTTCCTACTAGGGGAACCCAACTTGTGGGCACTCGCTGATTGCGCCGGGGTTAACCGGTTCTCGACAAATCGGCCGCTGCGCAAGCTAAGCTAGGTATCTCGATCGATGTCATGGTGGGAGGAACCGATACACCCTCAAGAGTAGAGGGATTATGGACATTGCTCGCTGGTTGGTAGTAATAAGGCCCCTTTGTGTTTTGGGGAATAATCGCAACCTAGATATCCTAGATATCGATGGTGAAAAGAGGTAGGTAGATTGGGCCGAGAGTAGAACAGAATCGAGGCAGTCATTGTATAGTATACTGACAATGTGTATAACATAAGAGTGCTACAATAGTCCTGGATTTCTTAAAAACATGTAGGAATCCTGTTCCGGGCCAAACCCGACACCTCGATCACGTAAAAGCTGAGTAATCGTCTATAGACGTTCAGTATGGAAGGGACGCCTGAAATAATCCCCTCTATGATGCGATACCGGTATCTCAACCTCTAAATACAGTGTACGGACCAGCCAGACCCGATTAAAAATGACCGAAATGCATTATCCGAGTGAGCCTCGATTGCTGGAGGGGGGGGGTTCACAGTAAAATTCTAAGTTGAACATTAAGCGAGTATAACTTCACATTCCACTAGATCGGAACCCTTCAAAGTACTATCCCGGAAGAGCGGTTAGTCTAATCCTAATGTGTTGCGTAGGGGTTTATCGACTCACCCTTTTCCGGAACGAGTTCAGTTCATCTGCCGTCGCCTTTTTGCTTCCGTTTCTCTCCTCCCGTTCTCGCGTGGGCGGGGCTTGTGCATCGCCTTGTATCCGCGAGTAGGTTATTAGTCTTCTCGACCCTGGCTTGAGCGTTAGCTCGTGCTGGGAGGATAGATATGCGGGAGTGGGTACATTTATTGAACTCTTGCACGCAAACGGATACCAGTTGCAACTGTGGATGACTGGGAATATCCAATTTCGAGAAGTCTTCGTTGGCAGTAGGCATCCAGAAGCACAGCCTTCCACCAGGGACTAAGTGGTCTGCAGCGAACTGCATGATGTCGTCCAGCATCGCAAGGAAGCTGTAGGGTCGCTTGGGGGGTACGTAGTCGTCCTGCCTATAGCCCATGATCAGCGTCCTAGGGCGGAGGTGGTATAGGTCCTTGAAAGGCATACAAGTGTCTCAAAACCCCACCCCGAATAACTGGTTCCTTCCCCTTCTCCGGGTCCCGACTACCGAGAACCTTCAACCCCTCACGCACGCCATAGGGCGGATCGCACAAAATCGCATCGATAAAAGCGGTCTGGCGTATAGGCGTGTTCGTAAGATCCGAGACGAACCCATCCAAGTAATTCCCAACAAGCCCATACTGCTGAAAATTACTAAGTACACTCCTTCCATTCTTCCCTCTGATCTGCCGCCCATCGATATCGGACCCCAGACACAACCCGCCAAAGTGCGCACACGAAACCACAAACGACCCCGTCCCAACGAACGGGTCAAAGGCAATCTTCCCGGGCGCAACGAGCGCCATATTCGCCGTCACCAGCGCCAGCTCCGCGTCCATAGAAGTAGTCCCGATGTAATGCCTCTTCTTCAAATCGTACCTTTCAACAAGCGCTCGACTCCCACTACCCACCCTCCGCCCGAAGAATATGCGCGTGGGCGTCGCCACTTTCTCCGGAAATTCCTCCAACACGGTGAAGATTATGTCTGGGTCCTTCATCCTTATCTCCCCGTCAAGGCCGAGGTAGGCAAAGCTTTCGATTATCTCCCGCTGCGCTGATTGCTTGCGCTTCCCATTGTAACATTCTATTTCGAATTTGAAGGAACGTGACATGCATGATAGCCAGAGGTAGGGTGTTTGGGATTTGATGGTTGCGTGGAGGTGGTCGTAGTTTGGACCTGCTCCCCAGAGCTCGTAGACACCTTTTGCCAGGATTGAGCGCTCTACAAGAGTTTTTGCGGAGGAGTTGTTGGGAAGGTGGACTATCGCGAATGGAGACTGTCAACCCGAGCAAAAAAAAGGAAAAAAAAAATTAATATTCAATTTCTTTTCTTTTGTGCGAGAGGAACGCTCACATCATCGGAGTACTCCTTCCATTGGACCCCCACACCGGTCAGTTGGGAAAGTGAGTCTAACTCTGCTTTTCTGAACGTCTCGTGAATCTGGGCAAAATATATCAGGTATTCCCGTAGTTGGGACGGCTCTTCGGACATCTGTGTCTCTTTATCTGGTGGCGCGGGGGTCAGGTCGTGTGGTTGGTTGGTTGGTATTATGGGGTGGTTGGTGGGGCGAAGTTTTTGAAGGGTCACGATTAGGTTTAGCCAAGCTTTAAATTTTCCGAGATGGCCCCACGATAGAGCCGCCTATGGCTGAAGGGGAATTGCATGGGTTATCACTCGATTCTAGCTAAGCACTTTCCCGGTCTAGGAAACGCTATAAAGCATGAACCTGGGAATTCAAAGAGAATTAATTACGTATATTTGTCTGAAGAAAAGGTAGAATACGGGCATCATACCAGATTTCTAACGGCATTGCATATGATCTCCCGGAGCCTGCTGGAGGAAGCTAACGTTGCAAATCGGGGAGAAATTTTCACCGGAGATATCATAGCTCAAGCAGGGTCATATATGTTACGCTTCATCTCCATACTCCTCATAGCCGTCAATTCGTGCAGGAGTTTTAAATCTAAGTGCTAGGGATTAGTATGCTTTGCTGATGCTAGTGGGTATCTCCCTGGTCTTAGCCCCCGGAAGGAAAGGCCCAATGACTGCTTCCTAATCCTAACAGACCATAAAATTTAATGAGCCCAGGAGAAAAATCAAGAGTCCGGCAGCGCGACCAAACATAATTTTCACCTACCGTCCCTTAACCCTGCCTCTCAAAAGATACCGCTCCACCTACTCTCCTAACTGCGATACCGCCGAAGTTTTCCCACCTATATTAAATCTCATATACTCTTTATCGCCCATCATTACGGATAGCCCCCCGTGGGACACAAGCACAATACACCAAAATCAAAAGTGTTGGCTCAACTATTTCGAACGCTAGAGGCTAAAGGAAGGGTCAAGACTCTTCCGTTCGGCAACAATATGAAAAACATTTCTTGAGAATTTAGTTTTTCATAAAAACCTAACCCCTTCTGGCGAGGGCATGAAAAAAACTATGTATATGCAGATATTGTCTTCTCGACCGGCCGCCGTAGAAAAAATGTGAGGAGTCCTGGGGGTTGAGCTATAACCAAATAGGTTCGATGTTAAAATACCTATTACTACCAAAAAATGCAGTGAAAGCCAGAGAAGCGCTATTTTTGCTGTGTTCTAAATAGTCCCTAAATATTTTCTCTATTTTCACTCGAATATAATCCTTTGGCTTTGCTGTTGGCGTTTCTTTTTCCCCGCCATGGCACGAGTAACGCATAGTAGAGCAAAACAAAAACAAAAACCCCTAAGCCAGGGCATCTTTCAAGCCTCCCGATTGAATCGATTGAATAAATCATTACTCTCTCTCCCTAACGCCCATAATACTGGCAGTATGATACAAGCTACCAGTGCCGTGCCTGTGGACTCCTAGTCAGCACATTTTCCGATATATCGCGCACATAAGGGGGAGAGAAAAAACTCACATAAATCACGAATCCATCAAAAGCTCCAAGCACTCTCCCAACATCCTTCCTGGCAATCCCCTCCCGGACCGCAATATTCTCGATAGCATGCTGTCCATTAAGATACTTGATAATCCTATCGAAGAGCGCCTTGATATCAGGTGGTTGGTCCCTAGTCATCATCTCCAGCCACGAGCTCTCAATACTGCTCGCCTGATGCGGCTCGAGTATAATGCTATCTTCATACTCGTCCTCGGAATCACTGTCGTTTTTGTGGGATAAAAGGCTCGATATGGAAGATGTCATCTTTGTCAAGTCTCTCTCCCTCTCCCTCTCCCTCTCCCTCTCCCTCTCCCTTTCCTTCTCCTTTTCTTGTGATTGGAAATTGAGCGGGGGGTCAGCGGGGGACTTTTTTGCCCGCTCTTTAGCTGCTACCGCGCGCTTTATTTGCCGGGTTACGCGGAGCCATGCAAAGTTGCGGAGTTGGGTCGCAAGGCCGTGGCGAATTAGGAATGCAAGTATTTCAAGATAGGCGGGACGATGGGCGCGGGAGGGGATGAAAGCAGAGAAGGGTTTTGGTTTACTGGAGAGGAGGGTGAGAAGTTTTGGGAGGGGCTGGAGGGTTGGGAAGAGAGTATTATAGATTGGGATTAGTGTGTGGAGTCTAGGCTGGTCCGTTAGAACTATTGTGATGGGAAGAGGGATAGAGGGAAAGAACTTTTTCATGTCAGCGTTAGGAGATACAATGTAGGTGTCTCTCTGGTGTATAGGTGGGATAGCGCGGGCTTTTCTCCAGTGCACTAGATGGCGGGCCATGACCTGGATTTCGTGGAGTGGGATTCCGCATGAGTTCGATATTTGTAGGAATCTGATTATGCTGTTAACACCATATCCTGATTTCAACAAGAGAGTGAGCACAAACGACTTGGTCGGTCTGCATGCCTCGACGAAACGGGCCAGTGATGCAGAGGAATCAGCTGCTTCAGCCGCAATGTCTTTCAGAATGCCATTTACATCTTCAAGAAAGAGAAGAGTAAAGTGCTTCGCAAGCATATTGTCCCCTTCAGCGTCGTCATCGCCGAATGAATTAGCAGTTGTCAAGGGTCTAGAAGTGCAGATATTAGTCTATTGGACTTCTTGAGGATAAACCGATCACGCACAGTCCAGGAACCTGCGGCTCCGTTATGGACGGCATAACAGAGATCTCTGATATGATCGGCATTTGCAGCGACAGCCCAAGGTTATTATTAAGAAACACATGAGCAATCTTTGACTGGGATATATCAATATAAATTCTAGAGATTGCATATGCAAGACTGCTCTGATCCAGGATATCTCTCCACAAATCTGCAAAACTAGTCCCTGCATCCCATTAGCAAACTCCCAATATCAAATTAAGACAATTAAATACCTTCATGATTTGCTTTATCCTTCAGCCGAACGATCTTCTCTGCCTCCCCCCAGACATACCCATCCTTAGCCTGCTCGTACTTTAGAGCCCTCGCAAATCTCTTTACCACATAGTCAAACATCTCTTGCGTCCGCGAATGATACTCTAGCTCCGGAGGGTTCAAAACGAAGACGACATGAAACATGGTCATGTTGCCAAAATTACCCCCTTGAGAGCTCTCTCCGTCCTCATCGTCTTTTTCATCATCAGCATCATCTTCATGTCCTCCATTCCCAATAATTATACCCCCAACATCCGGATTCCCCTCAACACCTACATTCCCATCATCATCACCACCACCACTCCCACTCCTCCCACGCCCCCTCTTCTTCTTCTGCTTCCTCCACGTCCCATCGGGCCGAACGTGCAGCGGATAGCCAAGGAAAACCATATCATCAATAGACAGCTCAAACTTGGCCCTACACATGCGCTCCTTCGGCGCCAATAATCCGGCTAAAAATTCCTCCTTGAACCCCAGCACCCTCATAGCCTCCCCTTTTTCGTCCCCACCCTTCCCATCACCCTCGTCTTCATCCTTCACATGTTGTCTTCGGCGACTGCGCGTCTTACTCCCACTGTCGCTTCGTTCCGTGGCGGTCCTGCCCCGCGCAGTTGTTCGGGATTGCCGGTCATCAGCGTCATCATCGCTGGAGCCGGATGTGGATGGGGAGGAAGGGGATGAGGTTCCGGAGATGGTGTACGCAGCGTATTGGGAGTGTCGCCGTGCGGGTGTGTGTGTTGGGGTGGATTTTGGCTTGGGCGGGTAGTGGAAGACGAAATTCACGCCTGAGGAGGAGCGGACGATGAGGAGGATCGCGATTAGGCAGGGGTTAGGATTTGTGCTGCGTTGCATTGCGGTTGGTTGGTTGGTGAGGTGAGGGGGGGAGGTGGGCGGACGGGTGGTTCCGTTGATCAACAGAGATGGACTGATGGGTGGCGAGTGCCAATGGTGGCAGGGGGCAGAGTTACTCGAGCACAGTACAGTACAGTACCAGTATCGCAGACCATGTCTCAGACCATCGTATCGCAGACCATCAATTACACATGAGATTACTATAATACGGTACGGTATCGCACGAACAGCGGGGGGGTTATAGCTGCACATGAGATTTTTTGTGATAGTACCTCGTACACTAACTCTTCCCCGCATCCTTCTTTTTCAACTCCCCGTTCCTGCGCCTCAACTCCTCTAGCCCACCACTCTCCCCGGTAACGATCCTCTCGCCCTCCCCCCCCGTCCCCGCTTTACTCTTCACGGCATCATCCTGAAATCCGAGATTCCGAAACTCATCTCGAGCCATCAAGTTACTACTCCCGAAAATAGTTTAGCCTATCCGTTCATCCACCCAACCATTCCTATCGAACCACAAAAGAAAAAATAGAAATCGCTCACTGATCCATTCGACACTTCAAGTAAGCCTTCGCCAAAATCCTGCACTCATGCGCATTCGCTCCTCGAACCTTCTTGAGACAGGCAAGGTAGTCCTGCATCACGGGTTTACATTCGCCTTATTCCCATAATTAGCCCACTATTGTACTGGAAAGGGGCTCGGGCAGCGGTGGCGGGGGGAAACCATCATGGTCGAGTGGGAAGCTCCCGCGTTCCGGCCTATGACAGCCCGTCCGTTAGCGAGGGTAAGGGGATTGGGAGAAAACAGGGGAGGGCACGGTGTTGGAGAGAATGTTATTGTGGAAGGAGGTCTGCCGAAACCGCTCATTGTGAGTTGTGGTCGAATTCGTGGAGGGATCTTTGAATCTTGGAGATAGTCTGCGAGTACAGTACTTGTACTGTGTAACCCCAGGAACGAGTGCGATAACCAGCACTGTCTATGGTGGTGCCTCTTGCTCGACTTATCTGATCAGGTTCAGCCGCCTGGCAATGACAAGTAAAAGATGTGAGGTAAGCTGTAATACCGGTAGGTCAGAAGGTCTTAATGGTTGGTTGCCGCATCCGGCTGGTGCAGGATTAGAGGCAGTGAGACGAGTTTGCTTGATGGATGTGGAAAGGAGTTGATAATTGGAGGACCCAAGGCGCTGGTTGAGGGCGGTTGATCTGCACGTCGCTTAGACGGGGGGGAAGTTTGGTCGCGCGATATTGGATTCAGCAGACCCGGAATGGGAATAGGGTATCATACTTGATTACGGGAGTTGTATCATAACTGTTAACCATTGAGAGGACGGGTAGCAGTGGACTCCCTCATACCTAAGATATCATACTTGAGAAAGAAATAGAAAAAAGCCCTCTAAAGAAACCCCACGACCTTTTGAAAAAGTCTCTTTACCCTTGACCTACCATGAGTACGCACACTCCCCCTCCTTAATAAATGAGCAATCCCTCCCCCCCCGCGTTCCTTCTATCACTTCCATCTCTAACTTTACGACGCAGAGCAAAAACCACCAAAGTCTCCATAAACACCAAAAAAATGTCTTTACGTTATTCAGAAGGAGGATCTTCCACTAGAGGTTCTGCCAACCCTACCACGGACATGAGTCTAGAAGACGGTGTTCCAGCCAATGTGGTAATCCGCGCAGGAAAGAACTTAAGGGAGGCCGTCGATCCCACCGAGGAATTTCTGTTGCCCGCTGGCGAGAAGAGGTACTCCCTCCGGCATAGACATTTTTATCATTGAATCCAAGCTAATAGAAATAGGGTGGTTATGAAATTTGACCAAAGTAGCTTCCCGATGAAAAGGAACAGAAAGTCCACAGCTAACCGGATTTCTTAGATGACCCGACAACCGCCATCTTCACCTTCAATCGTGATGGCCAGACCCTCGGTGGACTTCTCGTTAGTGCACTCTTGGCACTCCCGTGTGTAACATTTGCAGCTTACAGAGTTCCCCACCCGCTATTCTTCGTGTTCGAATTGCGTCTCACCACTGATGGCGCTATGAGTCCGAAAGAAGCTTTACTTGAGGCCTCGAAGAATATGGTTGAAGATTTGGTCATGCTGGGTAGGAGGTTTACTCATGAGTGGGAGCTTCTCAAGCAAGCAGAAATGGCAGAGGGCGTGGGTCGTGGTGATTCCGAGATGGCGCTCGCACGCACTGTGTACACTCGTGCTGTTTCCAGCGCCGGGGAAGCAGCGAATCGAGGTAGGAGCTTCCAAGGCCGTGAGGGTGGCCAGAGAGATATTCGCTACCAATTTGGCGCTGGGAGTCCAGGGAGACCCGGCTATCAGGGTGGCGGAAGTCCCTTAAGGGTGGGATATCAGGGTGAAGGTCAGCAGGGAGTCAGAAATAGCCCCGGTAGGGTAGGGTACCGGCCGGGAGGCCAACCCACGGAATACCAACATAAAACTAGAAACCCCGAAAATTTGGACATTCCGACTGGGGGGGATTGGGGTGGCAGCAGCATGCAGGATCATGGAATGAGTGGATACCAAGCTAGAGGTCTACAAGAGAATGCCTACCATGGCGCTAGAAACCCCGAGGCAGGATTTCAGACTACCTGGGCCTCGGGCCAGCAAGCCAGGAGCCCCGACAGGATGAGTCGTCAAGGTGGCGTTAAAACTGGAAGCTCCTCAGAAGATCCCTACCGGGCTAGTGCTGCAGTCCTTAATAGGTCAGTGAACCGGTCCTTCTGGGGCAACGAGGAGTTGGAGCACCAGACGGACAGCCAGAGTAAAGGTTATCAGGGCTATGGCTCTCAGGGCCTTGGGGGTGGTGGATATCAACTCGGACCTCAACAAGCGAGTAGCACTCAGGTGGGGGGCGATTGGACACCAGAGTACCAGCGTCTAACCAGCCAAGGTTCCGGCTACCCGAATCGCCCCCAGAGCGCCAATAGAAGCTATCACCAGCCGGATGCAAACGATCAAACCAGGCAAACCCAAGCTACGGATCCCCAAACCGCAGGCTATCAGGGCTGGGATCGGCATCACCAACCGGGGGGGGATACCACGGTGGATGATAACGACTGGTAGGGTGTGGGTGTTCGGATGCTTGGTCTATGTTGCTACTCTAGAAGGTGTGGTGAACAGTTTTCTAGTTTAGGCTGGCGTTGTGAGAAATTCAAAAGCTTTATCGTCGTCTTGGTGCTGTGTGACCCGAGTGAGAGCCACTGCATCGGCAATAGGATTGTTCCACTCGCAGAGGCGAAAAGAGTGATATGATGCTACGGCGCGGTCATGCGAAAATCTTTGAAAGTTAACATGCTTTTGACACAAATACATACATACCACTTGTGATTTTATTTCAGGGTTTGGCTACACCACTGCATCTGAAGCCAACCATGATACCACACTCTAGGATTCATCCCTCCCGAGTTTGAGATGTGCTGTGTCCTGACCCAACACTCTCCCGTCCTTATTCTCACTTCAACCATAGATTACAAAAAATATTCCCAGAAATCAATATTTCCCGATCACATCACTCTGTGCTACAATCTCCCTATCACGCAAAATCATTCCATGTCACACTCACTTCCTCGCTTAGGATCTTGGCCACCTTGTACAGTACGGTACTTGTACTCATAATGTGCCGGATATGAAGGGCAAGTCTGTCGAACTTCTTCTGGCTGGCTTGGGGGCCTTCCCTGCCACTCGGAAAAGGGTGTTTGCTCCAGCTATCATGCCAAGAGCTGGACAGACTTTTGGCAATACTCTTGGTATGATAAGGATACCGGCGTGGGAAACCAACAAGCCAAACCAATCCAAGTTAACGTAAAAAGTGGACTAAAAGAAGCTTAATCTGACCTCCTAATCGCGAGTGTCACGTCGAGCTGCAATACAATAGTTCTGTTGCACAACGCGTCACGCTCGGTTCGTTGAAATTATTTTCTTGGTTGGTTCGGTTATCACTCCGGCACGGCACCGGTATTGTACTGTACCGGGACCCAGCGAAACTTTTGGAACGGGGTGTTTGTTTACTGCAGGGTTGAGCATTGACCTTGTTGTGGTGCTAGCCAGCTAGCCAGTCTTCCTTGTCTTCCCACGTCCATCCCTTTCTTTTACCCGCACTATCTGCCTTTCCCTCTTTACTCTACCAATTCCTTCGAAAATGTCTGAATTGACAGAATTTGACAAGCAGCGGTAACGTTCCCCCAGGCGTATGGTTGTTCCATACCCTATCTTTCTAATCCTAATTTCCTCTCCAGTGCCGCAAATATCGCCAGGAACCAGGCGATCCTCGCGAGCCTCGGTCTCGAAGTTAATGCAGCTCCGAAGCCCCCGAATAAGAGGGTCAAGGTCAAAAGGGAGGGGCCGATCGAAGGCGTGCGAAAGTCCGCGCGTGTCGCCAGTGCCCCGAAGCGCAAATACCGTGAAAGCAACGACAGATCTGAGAAAGAGAACGACAGCGATGACGGGTTTACCGACGAGAGTGAGAGTGACGCGGACTTCTACTCTGACGATAGTCAGCCGCCTAGCCAATTGGGTAAACGTAGGCGCGGGGGGTATGCTCCTGGTCATGATGGCCCAGTGCTTCCGGGTGACGGGGAGGGATTGCGTAGGAGGGTGGTGAATGGGAGGAACGTTCAACATATCGATCCTGAGAAGCGGGCTGTGCGGCCGGATCCGAAGGTCTTTGGACCCATTCGTGGGATCAAGGTTGGGCATTGGTGGCCAAGTAGATTGGCTTGTAGTGCCGATGCTGTTCATCCCGTATGTTTGCCACTCCCCACTCCCCACTCCCCACTCCCACTCCCGCTTCTATAGGCTACTGACATACTCACCAGCCTACTGTCGGTGGTATTTACGGCGGTACTACGACTGGAGCGTACTCCGTCGCCGTTTCTGGCGGATACGAAGACGATGTGGACGAGGGATTTCGCTTCACGTTCACTGGCTCTGGAGGCCGTGATCTCAAGGGCACCGCGAGTAATCCCAAGAACCTTCGCACTGCCCCTCAATCCTCTGATCAGACTCTCACCGGCTTCAACCTAGCACTAAAGGTTTCCTGCGATACGGGAAACCCGGTCAGGGTTATTCGCGGGTTTAAAGCCACCCTGGGACCAGAAGAGGGTTACCGTTACGATGGACTCTACAAGGTTCTGAAAGCCTGGCAGGAGACTGGCCTGTCCGGATTCAAGGTGTGGAAATACGCCTTCAAGAGAATCGATGGACAGGCTCCCTTGGATACCAGCAGTGAGATCATTTATTTACTTATGTTTTAATTAGGATTTGAATCGCAGCTAACCCGCAATTAGTTGGAAAACCCGATGACTTTGGTGACGAGGACGACTACAACATCAAGGACGAAACCGAGGAAAATCCTGGCCAAGAACCCCCTGAGCCCGGCACCGGAAAAGCGGAATGGCTTGAGGAAGAAGCAGAAGACCGACCCAAGCGGACTCGCAGATCCACTCGCAAATCCTACCGAGAAATTGGCGGCGAAGCCACCTCCACCTCCACCCCTAGTGGCCCGACCACACCTGCGTCCAAACTCTCCGACAACGCCGAAACATCAGTTACTTCTGATGATTCCTATACTAAGATGGAACCTGTCGTCCTCATCAGTAGGAAGACCGGCGCTAGGGCTAGCTCGAAGAATAAGTATCAGCCTTTGGTGAGCGAGTATTTCTCGCCTAAGGGTGATGATAGCGGTGTTACCTCGGTGAGTAGGAGGAGCTCTAGAAGGGTTAGCAAGAAGGGGGAGATGTGAGTTGGAGGGGTCCGTGAGGGGTGGAAGTGGGGTTGTAATGCAATGTAAAATAAAATAGTGTAGTTTATTTCTTTTTTCTCTTTCCTCTTTCCTTCCATGTCTCTATACCTTCCTACCCACAAGGCTTGCTTGCGGTTGTGTGGTATCCCCTTCTCTCTCTCTTATACATAATCTATTCTTTTACTCCCTCCCGCCGTTCCTACCTACGCCCGCATGGTGCTCGTGCCTCTGCCAGTTTATTTTGTACTTTCTTTCGATGTTTATTTAGTTTACTAGGCTCTTCTATAATGGTGGCGGCAGATTTTGTATTTTTAGTGGAAATAATTTTGATTCGGTAAAAATATTATATAGTTCGGTAGCAATAGCAGTGCTGTTTTTTTGCGGTGCGCTGGGATGGGGGCGCATCGTAGGAGCAGGTATGCTATGATATCTACTTGAATCGTATGATAGGTCAGAATCTGATGGAATAAGTAGTGTGAGATGATGTATGAGTCATGAGTCCTCACTCGATGGGAACCCAGGGAGCTTTTGAGTTGGATCTTATATGGTGCAGGGGGCGGGATGGGAGGGGGAGGGGGGGTTAACGCGCTGCATAGGATCTTTCCGTTTGTTGTATGTACATTACGGCTTTGGTTTGCTATGCGGTGTTATCTACTACCCGGAGGGTGGGAGTTTGTTTCACGGTTGATGGACCAACTTGCTATATAATTGTTTGTTTTGATGTGCGAGGCTGAGGAAGAGAAGGTAGCCTCTCCAACCTCTACATTCGGCGTCGCGTCTGGAGGGGCAATGGGGTGTGAGTATGACCGTGTGCGTGGGCTGGTTGGTTGGTTGGGGGGGGGTAATCATCATCATGGATTAGTTAACGAGAACTGGGGGTTTGGGCCGCTTTTGACTAATTTTTTTCCCCCTCTATATCTAAACAATCCTCTAGTCAACGCTGCAGAGGCGGGGAAAGGCAAGGTGTGGGAAAGGAGGTAATAGGTAAGGAACGAATATGTAATGAGGTTTTACAGCTAGAAAATAGAAATAAAACTAAATAATAATAATAATATTATTATTATGATGGAGATTTCTCAACACGATGATAGAAATGACCCCCCCCAATCCGCCCACCAACACCGAACTCTAAGATATTAACAAATAGAAGATCGCAACTCTTGACTCGACCGCGTAAGAAAGCCTGTATAGAGATTTGGACGGGAGTGTTAGGTATAGGCGCATTCCCATGGCATGTGGTTTCCTTCTGCCAGAGGGAAATATTTGAGCTGAGTTTCCGTGGTAGGTTTACTGTGGATGGAGAGTAGGGACGGTGAATACCACAAGGCGATGCCGTGAATTGTGAGAGAGCATGTTGGGCGGGGGTAAGGGGAGGATAGCAATACTAGCGGCAGACATGTTTATGGGGTTGTGGCGGAAATGACGAATAGGTTGTCCGTAAGAAATTCGAAGGTATGGGGAGGCTACACAGGCTCGGGCTGAGGCGGTGCTGGGGGTGGTGGGCGCGGGTCCCCCAGTAGCGCCACCCCTACATGGCCTCGACAAGTAGCCCATCAGTGCGGTGTTCGGCCGTTGGCATCAAGTTTTTAGGGGTTGATGTCACCCCGTCCGAGCAGTATTTTCACCACTCCCTCGTGCCCATTCCAAGCAGCACGATGGAGCGGTGTATTGCCATAAACATCTGATTCGTTAGGGTTGACATCGTCCCGTCCGAGCAGTATTTTCACCACTCCTTCACGCCCATTCCAAGCAGCACGATGGAGCGGTGTATTGCCATAAACATCTGATTCGTTAGGGTTGACATCGTCCCGTCCGAGCAGTATTTTCACCACTCCCTCGTGCCCATTCCAAGCAGCACGATGGAGCGGTGTATTGCCATAAACATCTGATTCGTTAGGGTTGACATCGTCCCGTCCGAGCAGTATTTTCACCACTCCCTCGTGCCTATTCCAAGCAGCACGATGGAGCGGTGTATTGCCATAAACATCTAATTCGTTAGGGTTGACATCGTCCCGTCCGAGCAGTATTTTCACCACTCCCTCGTGCCCATTCCAAGCAGCACGATGGAGCGGTGTATTGCCATAAACATCTGATTCGTTAGGGTTGACATCGTCCCGTCCGAGCAGTATTTTCACCACTCCCTCGTGCCCATTCCAAGCAGCACCGTGGAGTGGTGTGTCGCCATCCATATCTGGTTTGTCGGGGCTGATGTCGCCCCGCCCGAGTAGCATTTTCATCACTCCTTCACGCCCACTCCAAGCAGCCCACATGAGTGGTGTATTACTCGTGCAGTCACTTTGGTTGATATCACAGCCTTCCACCTCTATTAAACTAGCTACAATCTCGACAATCCCGAACATGCATGCGCAGTGCAGACCACTGAATTGGGCAGGTTTACTGGAATCATGAATGCGGATGTATGGTTCCTGTGATTTCAAGAGGATTTTGGTGGATATATGATTATTGTAGCCATCAAACAATTTTAGCGCAAGCGATTTCGCGCAATCCGAAAGCTCTCTTTTTGCGTGGATTCCCCAATAAAGGGAGGAATATTCGAGAAAGGGTTTGCTTTGGGGATCGGAAAAGGGATTGGTCGAAAGGGCTCTGATTTGCCGGGAGTTTAGATAACTTAAGCATGTCTCTGCGATTGTCGAGTGAGCTGTACCAAAAAGCTCGGGATGAGCGCGGAGGTACTCTTGAAGGGTAAAGTGAATTAACCGGATAGTGGAAGCCTCCTTGTCCACAACGATAAGTCCTTGACAACAGGCTAGAAGTGTCCCTATTGAAGGAACATTGTCCTTATTGAGACTCGGTGACCCGATTTCAACTGCTAGGGCGTGGCACAATTCGTCGGGCTTCAATGGCCTCTCGGAGTGAGAGATCCACATCAAGGCAGCCATTCCAAGTCTCGCTCTCTCCCCACCTTGTCCCTTTATCCGACCCAGAGTTGCACCATAAGCACCCCCCAACCCCAGGCCATCGGTTATTGCGTTGAGCTTTTGTCGCCTTCGATGGATTGTGGTTTCCCGGAGGATCGCATTGATATTCAGCGAGACGAGTAGGAATCTAGATGTTTAACTGTCAGTGGATTATTTTAGATACTAGTAGCATCCAGCGTTTCTGCATTTACACACATTTCAGAAATATCATCAGGAACTTTCTTCAGGATGTCTGCCTCTAAGCTATCGTCCATCGCATCCGGAGTTGTATCCTCGTCCAGCCTGGTCCGGAGATAACTGATGATATCATCCCTCCTGGGAGTGATGGATATACTCCTTACTCTTCCAGAAAGTCGCTTTCCAATTTCAGCTTGAATGTGTGATCTTCCGGTCACGAATATTCGAGTCCCTGGAGATTTCTGGAGGATTTGTTTCAGCGAATCAAGAACCCTGACCCGATCTCCCGCCGCGCATTCGTCGAGTGCGTCGATGCAGATTAATATGGACTTTTCGGAGAATGTAGTTTGTAGCATTTTTACAATATCAGGAAGCCCCGGTCCACGCCCACCGATAGCATTTTTCTGGTCTTCGTAGGCATTCGCTATTTCTTCTGGTACCTTTTCCATTCCATTCACAACCTGCTTGAGCAGGGCGCCCAGCATGTTTGTCAATGACTGCTCTTTTTGGGCTGCGAAGTCGAAGTAAAAACACACAACGGCGACATTCTGTCCTCTGGTCTGATCGCACAACCTGTCTATTACCAATGAGCTAACATCAGGGCTTGTCAGCACTTGCTCATTCACTTCCATTCCTGAGATTTGTCCGTGTTACCTAATATAGGTCTTTCCAGCCCCTGGGTCTCCACAACAGAACAAAACTGCGTTATCGGATTCACCTCCCCCACTACCGGTGTACCAGCCTCTGAATTCTTCAGTTTGTAAAAGCCACTCCACTATGTTTTCGACTCGGCTGTCTCGAATGTCCTTGTGGCGTATCTTGGGATCAAGCGGGGATAACCAGGCTAGGACACTAGCTCGGTCATCGGCAATAGTGATATTAGGCAAGTTAACCGTCGTGACTGTGTTCGCAGAGTTGATATTATTGCTGAAGTATTGGGACATTTTCTCTTCTTGCTGCTTGGAATATTGTAGATGGTAGATGATGGAGTTGGTCGACTATTGGAATTCCTGTGTGTTGAAGGAAAGCGGGGTCTTTTGTGGAACCTCGTGGGTCGTCCAGCATCACCTAATCAACCTTGCCAAAATTTGTGCCAACA